CTACAACAAAATCTGTAGACACTCTCCAAATCCTTGACCCTCTCTGTTCCTGTATGGCAGGGCCTGAGTTGGGGGCTGTTTTGAGCCCAGAAGTTTAAAAAGTCAATAAATTAAAATGAATATCAGACAGTAGTATGGATTATACTGTTCTATCAAATATTATACCACTGTATAAAAATAATGTAACACACATGCCTTTTCTCCGAATGTGTGAAGTACGGAGAGAAAACGGGAGAAGCAGAGGACTTATATACAGCATAAGATAATATTTAAAACTGCCACAATATTTGGAATATTATAATATTGCACACCGCCTTCGCTGCTAACAAAAAAGCCAGTGATTTGCTGCTTTCCACGTGTCTCTAATTAAAAATGGACAGGAGCTTTCTGTGTCCCGTGTTTAAAGGCCTTTCCTTTTCAGTCAGTCACAGTAACTGACGTTATGGGGTCTCACTTGGGAGCCCCATCACCTCTGACCGGTACAAGAAACGGGCAATGAATATTGGCGAGTTGAATTTGCATGCCTAGCCACTCCCTGTACATATGGGTATATAAGATGGCGGCGTGCATCCACTCATTTAGAATTTGCTTCAGAGCTGAATGCTTGTATAAGCAGCTAATCGCCTCTAAGAAGTTACAAGTAAAAGACTTGGTGGACTTCTCAGGCTGTGTTTTAAGGTGCATGCAAGGGGATGATTGGCATCTGGGGTCCGGGCGTGACTCACAGCCATGTTCCGCTCCTGTGCCTTTCTTTCCGGAGGTGCATGAAGAGCTCACTAAAGTGTGGAAGGTACCCTACACACTCTAGCTCTTCCCTCCTCACTATGTCAACCTTGATGACTTGACAGCCAAGGGGTATGTGGACGTTCCCCGGGTTGAGTGTGCATCTCTGCCTGCAAAACGCTGCCACTTGGAGGAATTGTCCACGACTCCCGTCCAAAGCTTGTAAGCTGAGCTCAGCTCTCGCTGCTATGGCTTACAGTGCCAGGCCGCCTCCGCCCTGCAATCCATGACGATCCTGCAGGTACATCAATTGTCCCTTTGGTACTGTGTGTGCGGAGTCTGGGGATGTTGACACAGAAACACATCCTTTCATGTGTTTGGCCCCAAGATTGACCTGAAGGACACGTACTTTCATGTCTCGATCTTACCTTGGCACAGACCGTTTCATTGGTTTGCTTTTGAGGGTCGAGCATATCAGTATGAAGTCCTCCCCCTCGGGCTGTTCTGTTTCCCCGCGTCTTCACAGAGGGTGCTCTTGTCCCACTACACAAAGTGTGCATCCGGATACTCATCTGACTTGACAACTAGCTTATATTAGCTCACTCGCAAGATCTGTTGTGCGAGCACAGGAACTTGGTGTTATTTATTTATTATCTAAGCAAAACAACATGCAACCTTGAGTGTGATAAAAACTAGACTTTATTTAACTACACTAAACACTTAAACTATTCTAACACATACATGCATACATTTATCAATGGAAAGAGAGCTTAAGCAGAGTACAGGAAAGCAAGAGGTATTTTATTGTTTGAGATTCAGCAGATCAACAGCCTTAAGCAAAAGATCAATTTCTGAGTTCTAACACACCCTCCTTTAAAAGCGGTGGGGATACTTAATGGATCAAACAATAAGACTAAGTTTGATACTTGCATGTCTTGCCCATTTGAATAAAAGTGGTCTGAATAAAAACATAAGGGTCTTTAAAGACTTCTAGTAGGGTCTTTTGCATATGAAACTGGTTTGGCTGGTCAAGAGGAGAATCTTCAAGATTCTTATAATACTAATGTGTCACAGCGTTAGCAACATGTCATGTAAATTAACAAATAGGAAACATAATTTGGAGCTCATAGATAACCAAGATCGCACATATGCCGTGCTTGGTAATTAAGTAATACTAAAGCATTCTTTCAAGTTTTAGTATATAGGCAAAACACTATAAAAGAACATATGATTACATAGGATACATGATTGTACATGTCTGAAGTGAATAGTAGACGCAATGACCTGGAAAATACATGTTTATTCATAGAAAGCTTTGTCTATGTATTTATGTGTGGAAAGGTCCATTCTATAGGCCTGTGTCTGTCTTTCACAGGGTCTGTTCCATTGCACATCGCATCTTTCAGTCGCATCAACAGTCTTATCAGATGGTAGCCCAGGTAACAGCCCTCTTGGAGTGATAGTTGCACTTTTGGGGGATGGTCCATGAAACTCACAGAGTGAGTTTTAAAGATTATTTGTTAAATATAACAAATAATTGTGTGTCTGCTCCAGTCATGACAGTATGCTCTTGTCACATGTCGCAACTCATCCACCATCTCCTCCTTGGCTTAGACATGACATGACATGGCTTAAATCGCCCCAAGTGCCAATACTCATCCCAGAGGAGCTCAATCATGCAGCCGATGCACTCTCACGTCCTCCCATTGCCAGCTGTTTTATTCCCTGACTGAGGCCCCATTCGGTACAGATGCACTGACACACAGCTGGCCCCGGGGTCTGCGCAAGTGCGCATTCCCCCTGGAGATGCCTGATCAGTGTGGTGCTTTCTTTCCTGCAGGAAAGGTTGGAGCAGAGACTGTCCCCTTCCACCTTAAAAATGTATGTTGCTCCCATTGCGGCACATCACGACGCAGTGGATGGCAGGTCCTTGGGAAAGCATGACCTGATCAGTTTCCTGAGAGGTGCTAGGAGGTTAAATCCTCCAAGACCGCACCTCATCCCCTCTTGGGATCTCTTGGTCCTTGCTGGACTACAGAAGGTTCCCTTTGAGTCACTCAAATAGCTCAAGATCCCGTCCCTTCAGACAGCTCTCCTGACCACGCCAACTTCCATCAAGAGGGTGGGAGACCTGCAGGCATTTTTGTCTGATGCCCAATTCACGCATCGACGTTGATACTTTCATATTTACATATTAATAAAAAAAACTAATGAATGGGCCAGTTCACCCAAAAATAAAAAAATGGTGGGAATAAATAAAAAAAGAAAGAAAAATATATATTTCTAAAGCTACTTTTTGTAATATCTATTAATTAGATTAATTACATTCTGGGAGAAGTGTGCTTAATTGTCATGAAAATAATGACAGATAAAGAAGAAAAAAAAGATTTTGGGAGAAATCTGACCCTGAAATGTTGATTAATGAATTAAGCTGCTAACATCTAATGCTGATGATTTGTCTCTGCTTTCATACTCACGCTCTCACACACGCAGATCTCTGGAGAGGTAAGAGCAGCTTTCTCTCACTAACTGTGTCGTGACTGTGCTCTTATTTCCTGGTCTGCTGTCATCCAAGCGTCTTCTCTGTATCTCCTTCAGTGATAACGAGAAGTGCTCCATCAGTCAGCAGTCAGTCTGCGAGAGCAAGCGCAGCAGCAACGACAGTCTAGCTGACTATGGAGACAGTGTCGACATCCAGTTTAACGAGGACGGCTCCTTCATCGGCCAGTACAGCGGACGCAGAGATCCGAAAGGTCACGGCACTCACGGCAGCTCGGGCACCACGTCTCCCATCAATCCCAACATGCCTCCGGCCAGCACCAGCTTTCCCACGTCTGTGACAGGATTCCTGGGGCCAAACTAACACTCCTCCGCCACACGCACACATCCTTGACCATCTGAATGAGGGGCCCTGGTGGTATTAAACACCGCCGGCTTCACTCTCACATAATAATGACACGAATAGCCTGCAGGACAGTTGCGTCTAACATTCCATCCAGGCACTGAAAACGGTTTACAATATTCTCACCTCGCTGCTTCAAGTGATGTTTGGACTGTACATTCTCCCTCACTGGACGTTTGTCCAGTTCTCTCGCTGAATTTCTGTAGAATAAGGTGTGATAGACAACAGACACAAGCGAATTCAGCTGTTTGAGAGTGTAGGACAGACTGAGGCCTTGTTCACATGGCGTAGGAGTGACTGTTCAGACGGTGTAGTCAGTACAGGCTAAGATGCATTTCCAGAAATGTCAGACTAAAGATACACCAAAACGAACTGATTTTGCTGCCTCACTGAACAATGCCTTATGTCGAATACATCAGCTGAAATCACTGCAGTCAACCGAAGTCAGATCTGAAAAATCTTTTAATATTCATTATGATTTGAAGGCATTCTTTTCCCATTCACGATTACAAAATGGGAAAATTATTTTAAGTATTGTTTTTGTATTATTCTTACACATGTTCTTCCATTGTTTTTAATATATGAAATATATGTATATACATCTTTTTGTTTTCATTAAGGCTAATATATTTGGTTTAGATCATGTTTTTATTTATTACTATTATTATTTAATTTTTTGCTTGTAATGCGATTATCTTTATGAGTTCATGTTTTATAATACAGTATGTATGAACATTATTAATCTGCCATGTGTGTCTCTCTGTCTTAATAATCAAAGTTCAGGGCTTTTAACTGTATCATTTGTATTGTTGTCCAAGTGTGTTACCCAAGCAAGTTTTTAAAATAATGGTGTTTTTGATGCAATTTATTACGTTAAATCCCTTTGAAATACATACAGCCGCTGCACTAAAGCCAAATTTTGTGATCTTGACACTAACATATATTTTTAAAAGAAAAAACAACAAAAAAAGGATTTCCTGCAGCAAATAACAGCATGAGCTGTAGTTGATGTAGTGTGTAGGCCGTGCTGTAACGCTGAAGCTAAACCCCGGCTGCCAGAGTCGGACAACTGCTGTGCTCCAGTGTCTGTCATCAGTCTGTCAAACATTGCTAATTATGTACAGTGAATTATTACTAACAATAACATAGTCATACAGTATAATCTATCACACATTTGTCATCAGTTGTTCTTTCTAGTGTGTGCATTCGTTGAAATAAATGAAGTTGGGCTGTTCCTGTCTGAAGGAAATAGCCTTGAACATTTTATGAGCTGATGGCAGCATATGATACAGGACAGGCAAATAGACACACAGTACAAAATAACAAATTGATGGTTTATATTCTGAATGTAAGTCATCTTTTACAACAGAAATTTGGTATGTTTTCACCTTTAACATATTTATACCACATTCATGGTCTCATGATCAGTTAGAGATTTAGTGTTTCAGAGCATTTTCCTCTTGTTATTATGCTTGATCTGGTCTGGGAGGAGCAGTGATGATGTCATGACGGGCCTGCAGTTTAATGACATCATCACATCTCAACCAACCAGAAGACATTTGTGGCTTGATACTTCATTTGATTTTATAACAGAAGAAGTAGAAAGATCTTCAGACAGTAACTAGGGCTTTGAGTTAACTGTAACCTCGTTTGTCTGATTTCACAGTCGTCTTCTGCCACTCATACAGCATCCTGAATTGTACTGATCAGATTATTAGGAATATTTACAACTAATGTATGTAAGCCTGCGTACGCATTAAAATCTATTTTCCTACAAAGAAGACTTGAGTAAAAGGGGTGGAATTGCAGTGCATGGCTTTACACGATGAGCTGTGAAGGAGCTAAAGCGATCCTACACCGTCACCATCCCTCCAAGCTCTGTGGGATATCTCCGTATTGTATGTAAACTTCTTCTTACCTCTGCTTTCTTATTTGTAAATGGAAACACTAACATGACAATAAAAATGTAGTCAGAGTGGTATTTCAAAGGATCACAGCCTCTGTGAGTGATCTCTGAAGTCGTGATGGATGTAATGGGAAGTGTGGAGCTTCTTCAGCCTCTAGCCGCAGTGCTACCATGTGCTGTATCCAAATACACCAAAATAAATCGATTATGCAGAAAATTATGTGTGACACTTTTTACTTTATAATATACATTTAATTTCAATGAATATGCATTTTATAATATGACTTGACTTCACAGAATATGACTTCAAATTTCTTGCATATATATTCCATATTATTTAACTGCAGCTGATTATGAGTCCCAATCAAACAAAAGCCTTAGAATGACTACACTTCTTAATACATCATTCATTCATGATCAAACATAATTGTGCAACCTCAAGAGCAGCAACCAAGTCGTCTAAACGTCATAAAGCAGAACAAGAAACAACAGCAGCTGATTCAGGCACATCCCGGGCCCGTCCCAACAACAGCCACACCTGCAGTCTGCAGCATCCGACCACTCTCTAATTACATGATACCTATCTCCTGTATTTGGCCCAGTTATTTAAGTGGGCTTGAAGACTGCAGCGGTGTAGAACATTCAATTAGCCTGTAGGACACACCAAAACACTTTATTTATACATTTTGATTTTCAAAACGTTGGCACTTTAAATATTTATCTGTGACAGAAGACAATTACAGGGGCCAGAGAACTGAAGTGCTTCTAATTAAGTGATAAAAATCTAAATGTTTTACAAAATACACACTAATCTCTGCACTAACGACTTGACTTCATTAGTTCTTGACTTCTGTTTCCTGTGTACCGTGTTGCAGAGTGGTTTGTGATTGTAGCTCCATGTAGCTCCACTTTTCTGTTGAATCTCTATCTTACTATCACTCTCTGTTGTTTAAAGTGATAAAATAGAACTTAATTCCCACCTTATTTCTGATATTATATATTAAACTAATCTGATTCATTTGATCATTCGCTTTTATTCTAAAACCGTGAGTGCAGCGTGTTAGCATTCGTTAGCCGGTTAGCTTGTCATTCGCATTTCCATTCGTTCTTTTGCTGTTTTCTTTTTTTTTTATCTCGCTCCGTTTATTCACGAGTTCATCAAACAACAGTGGTAAGTCAGAATCATTCATCAATCACGGTGAGTAATGGCTTCTTCTCCTGCTATTGTTGTTAGCGCCACTTGCCACATGTATAGTTTATATCTCTCTGTCAGCGATGAGGGATTCACATGTGATAAATGCAGGGAAATAGTTAGGCTGACAGAGAAGGTTTCAGAATTAGAGACATGCATCCAAACTTTAATTAAGGATAGTGTAAGGGGGCTTTGATCTCCTTGTGAAGCCAAAAATCAGGAACTCTCGCAACACACATGCCATACAACAAAACAAAAAACTTTCTAATCTGACAGGAAGATCTGGGAGAAAGACCATTTGCCCATCTATCCCTTCACCCATTTTTAGGCCCCCCTCCTTCCTTCCTGAGCAGATGGCCCAGGCCATAAAAGTTGACTTAGAGGTGTCCAGAACTCAAGTTACTATACTTATATCGTGCATTTACTATATCTTCAGAATTCATAAGCATAACCCTTTCATGTTTGGTATCAATTTTACAGTCCCGGTGCGATTGAAAATATGAACAGACCAAAAATAAGGGAATGAGGAAAATAATTTTCTTCTGGTGTGGGATGTGCCCCTGATAAGGTCCTTTCCAGATGTTGTTTTTTCTGAGGACATCTCATGTCCCAGCAAAAGTTCTTTGAAGTTTTTATAATCTTAAATTTATGGTTGTTTTTTCTGATTTGGGTATTTAAAGAGAATTGGTGAAACATTCCAGGGAGCATCTGTAAACAGAACTTCCCACACGATTGCCATGTGTCTGTTACGGGACGAACGAGACGGGAGACGTGTGGATCCATATGCAAGCTTTTATTAAGAGACGTGGTTTTAACAGGCATGAGTCAGACAATGGCAAACAGGTATATCGAAGGCAAGGCGAGAGATAAATCCAGGTAGAAGGCAAAGGTCCAGGCAGGGGCAAACAGAGTCAGAAACAGCAAGCAAAGGGTTAATCCAAGATACGTGGCGTGAATCAGAGACCAGGAAAACAGACAAGGCAAGACTATGAAAACTTAAACAGGCTCGGTAAGGTAGCTATTCGCTAAACAAACAGGGATAAACGCAAAACAATATACGAGACTAAAACAGAAAACACGGAATGGCTCGGTAAGGCAGCTAACACTTGGGGAGTGAAAAATGCAGAACAATACTCGGCGACTAGAGCAGGATCAGGGTAGGTGTTATATCAGGGGTGCCCCAACACGGTCCTGGAGGGCCGGCATCCTGCAGAGTTTAGCTCCAACCCCAATTAGACACACCTGAACCAGCTAATCAAGCTCTTATTAGGCATACTAAAATCTTCCCACCAGGTGTGTTGAGGCAAGTTGGAGCTAAACTCTGCAGGACACCGGCCCTCCAGGACAGAGTTTGGGCACCCCTGTGTTATATAATGTGTGTAATAGCTTTCAGGTGAGCGTGTAATTGGTTTCAGGTGTGAGTGTAATCAGTGTAATGGAACATGGGAAATGTATTCCAGGGTGATATGTAACAGTCTGTGTGGCGCGAGAGTCAATATCATGGAAGGGCGACCTCTGGTGGCAAGTGGATGGAAATTCATGGATTGGATTCATAAGTGTCTCTCTATTTGCCAGGTATGCTGACTCTTTGAAATTATTTCAACATTATTTTTCTTATTTTATGTTTTATGCTGATCAGTTTTGTAACAAAATTTTAGCTACATTCTTTTTCAATTGATGTATTTGTTTTATTAATTGAATCTGTTCCTTTGATTGATGATTTATTATGCCTGGCAAAATAAATGTTATTTCTTGATTTATTTTAGACTCTGCTGAAATTATGACTAGTAAACTGTGAGGAGGCTTTTGTTACCACAAATCTACGGCCAGGATAGGTCAAACTGGAGGCTCAGGAATCATAGGAGCAGTAGGCATGCCATCGGAGACCTTCTGATTTCTGTCTATCACTGGCAAGTTATACAGAAAAAAGACTAAGTGAACTACATTTTTTTTGTCATAACTCATAAGCAAGTAGTAGGCGGCAGGCAAAACAGGTATTATTCTACCTACACCCTCTGACTAGCATCAGGCTGGCGAGTTTGTGATCGTGAGACCGGCGCCTTTGGCCGATGCTAGGCTCAAAAGAGACATTAGGTCCCCAGTGAACGGATAATTGAAAGTATAGCGAGTCCAGAATAATCAGGTATTTAAATTATAACACAACGAACGTTATGATCAGTTTTTAAAATTATCATTGCAATTTGTATTTAATAAACACTTGAAACTGGAGTCAGATTTAAATCAGAATCAGAATGAGCTTTATTGCCAGGTATGTTTACACATACGAGGAATTTGTTTTCATGACAGAAGCTTCCAGAGCGTAACAGAATGACAGCGACAGAGCAAAAAACACAGATAATAAAAATAAATAAAAAAATAGAACAAGTAAATAAGGAATAAAAATATATAAATTGACAATTGTATGTGCAGGTATATTACAATAGACAGTTTTGTATGTACAGGTATATTATGTGCAAATTTGAGGTGTAGACTGAGTATGAGTGTTAGATAAATAAGTGTATGAATGTATAAATAGTGTGTGTTCCACAGTTATTGTTAAGTGTTCATGAGATGGATGGCCTGAGGGAAGAAACTGTTCCTGTGTCTGGTCGTTCTGGTGCTCAGTGCTCTGTAGTGTCGACCAGATGGCAACAGTTCAAAGAGTGAGTGTGCTGGATGTGAGGGGTCCAGAGTGATTTTGCCAGCCCTTTTGCTAACTCTGGACGAGTACAGTTCTTGGAGAGAAGGGAGGGTTGTACCAATGATTCGCTCAGCAGTCCGGACTACCCTCTGTAGTCTTCTGAGGTCAGATTTGGTAGCTGAGCTGAACCAGACAGTTATAGAAGTGCAGAGGATGGATTCAATGATAGCAGAGTAGAAGTGTTTCAGCAGCTCCTGTGGCAGGTTGAACTTCCTCAGCTGGCGAAGGAAGTACAACCACTGCTGGGCCTTTTTCACAATGGAGTCAATGTGAGTGTCCCACTTTAGGTCCTGAGAGATAGTGGTGCCCAGGAACCTGAATGACTCCACTGCAGTCACAGTGCTGTCCATGATGGTAAGTGGAGGGAGAGCAGGGGGGTTCCTCCTGAAGTCCACTATCATCTCCACAGTTTTGAGCGTAGTTATTTCAAACCTGCAGTAGAACTCGTTCAGATCGTTTGCCAGTTGAAAGTGAAAGTGACATGGGGCCAAGTATGGTGACCCATACTTGGAATTAGTGCTCTGCATTTAACCCATCCTAAGTACACACACACCCGGAGCAGTGGGCAGCCATTTATGCTGCAGCACCCGGGGAGCAGTTGGGGGTTCGGTGCGCTGTACATTCACTCCCCCCACCTACAATCCCTGCCGGTACGAGACTCGAACCCACAACCTTTGGGTTACGAGTCCGAGTCTTGAGTTCCACGACTTCCCCAAAGAAGATGGCCCATACGGGGATCGAACCCACGACCTTGGCGTTATTAGCACCACACTCTGACCAACTGCACTAACAGGTCTGTTTTTTTGTTGATTCTCCACAGTGCTGGTGGATGGTGTCTTGTAATTGGTGATTTCTTTCAGACTTTTCCACACTGATGCTGAGTCACTGAAAGAGAATTGAATCCTTATTTTATATAGAATAATTCCTCTTTGCCACTCTGATCTCCTTTTCCAGTGTGTATTTGGCCTGTTTATACAAGACATTTTCCCCCTTCCTGTAAGCATCTTCTTTGGCCTGACGGAGCTGTCTGAGTTTTGCAGTGAACCATGGTTTGTCGTTGTTGTAGGTTAAATGAGTCCTGGTAGGAATGCACATATCTTCATAAATGAGAAAGGAGTCAGAATTAAATTGGAAACCAAAGTTTTAATAAATCAAGTGATTCTTTCCAGAAGTGCAAGTAAAGACATATATGCAGAACACCTTCCCCCAGGCCGCTGGACTTCGTTTTTGGGCCAGCGGGTGGATTCTGACAATAGTAAGAATGTGAGGGCTGTAGATGCGGCTTTGGATGCGACTAGCTCAGGGAGTCCTGTACATTGTTTGGTCCCGGTAACAGAGCTTCCGCAGCAGGGCGACTGGGTGACTGCGAGGTGGCATAGTCGCGGGTCAAAACACCGCTTTTCCGTTCCGATCAAAAAGGTTCTCCCCACTCAGTGACGCACCCACTGAGAAACCTGATCAAAGTGCTCTAGTTATTGGCTTCTATTGTATTCTATTGTACAGAGCGTGAAAATAGAGACACCAGCCACCATAGTCCAATGTTTACCGGGAGCCAGAGCGCCTGACATCTTGGCAAATTTAAAAGTGCTGGCTAATGCTAAACGTAAATACAGTAAGATTGTTATTCACGCCGGCGCTAATGATGTTCGACTTCGCCAGTAGGAGATCACTAAAAATAACATTAAAGAGGTGTGTGAACTTGCAAGCATGATGTCAGACACTATAGTATGCTCTGGTCCCCTCCCTGCTTACCGTGATGACGAGATGCATAGCAGACTGTCATCACTCAATGGCTGGATGTCTAAGTGGTGCCCGCAGAATAACATAGGTTCCATAGACAATTGGACGAGTTTTTGGGGCAGACCTGACCTGCTGAATAGAGATGGTCTTCATCCCTCCTGGGGTGGTGCCGCTCTTCTCTCTAGAAATATGGCACATAGTCTTAGAGTTTGTACTTGACTAACTGGGGCCCAGGTCAGGAAGCAGACAGATTGGCTAAACCGACCATCTGCTAGCCGCTTCATGTCACAGAAATCAGTTAATTCTCAGCACATAGAAACTCTTTCACCTAGATATCACACTATAGAGACTGTGTCTGTTCCCCGAACTAGAAAATACAAAAAACATCCAAACCAATTTAAGAGTAACAATTGAATTGATGTTCAACAAATAAAAAACAGATGTAATATGGATAAACAAATGATAAAGCTTGGCTTATTGAACATCAGGTCTCTTTCTACGAAAGCACTTTTTGTAAATGATATGATCACTGATCATAACCTAGATCAAGTTCAAGTTCAGTTAATTTATAAAGCACATTTAAAAACAGCCGCAGGCCGACCAAAGTGCTGTACAAGTTAGAATAAAATAAAAAAGGAAGTACTCTAATAGCAGCAAAACAGTTCAAACAGAACATTCTAATAAGCTAAAAGCAACAGAGAATAAATAAGTTTTGAGACATGACTTGAACTCAGACAAAGTGGAAGCTGATCTAATATAGAGTGGGAGCTTGTTACTCGGTTATTTTGGGTATCTGAAGGAGGAGCTTATCTTTGGATCTAAGGCCTCTGATGGGAGAGTAGGGGTAAAGTAGATCGGACAAATAAGTAGGTGCTAAATCATTTAATGATTTATATAACAGTAATACAATTTTAAACTCAATTCTAAAATTAATTGGAAGCCAGTGAAGGGATCTCAGAAGATCAAATTTCCTCTTTCCCTTCGGGAATCTCACTGCGGCATTTTGAACGACCTGTAAGCGTGCCGTTTGGGATGTGCTCTGTTTGACAGAAACCTGGCTAAAACCTGATGATTACATTATTTTAAATGAGTCTTCCCCCCAAGATTACTGTTATAAACATGAGGTGCTGCTACAATTTATAATAATATTTTCAGTATTTCTCAGAGGGCGGGCTTCAAGTATAACTCGTTTGACGTAATGGTGCTTCATATAACATTATCCAGAGAAACAAGTGTTAATGATAAATCCCCTGTAACTGGTTACTGTATACAGGCCACCAGGGCACCATACAGACTTTATTAAAGAATGTGCTGATTTTATATCCGAGTTGCTGGCTGCAGATAAAGTTTTAATTGTTGGTGATTTTAATATCAATGTTGATAATGAAAAAGATGTATTGGGGTTAAACAACACGTGTCAGGACCTACTCATTGTCGAAATCATACTCTAGATTTAATATTGTCACATGGAATTGATGTTGATGGTGTTGAAATTATGCAGCCAAGCGATGATCATTATTTAGTCTTGTCCAAACTTCATATAGCTAAAACTGTAAATTCTACTCCTTGTTACACGTATGCTAGAACCATCACTTCTACCACAGAAGACTGCTTTGTAAGTAATCTTCCTGATTTATCTCAATTCCTTAGCATATACAATACCTCAGAACAACTTGATGTAACAAACTATGGACTCTCTCTTTTCTATCATTTTAGATACGGTTGCTCCTTTACGCTTAAGGAAGATTAAGGAAAACAGTCTGACACCGTGATATAATGAGCACACTCGCACCCTAAAGAGAGCAGCCCGGAAAATGGAGCGCAGCTGGCAGAAAACAAAACTAGAGGTATTTCGTATTGCTTGGCGGGAACATACCCTATCCTACAGAAAAGCATTAAAAACTGCTAGATCTGATTACTTTTCGTCTCTTTTAGAAGAAAACTAAAATTGACATTTGAACATTTGAAAAGCATTGACATTTGACATTGACATTGAAAGTGTTGACATTTCCCAACAGCACAGCATTAATTACTTTATGAACTACTTTACTTCCAAGATCGATACTATTAGAGATAAAATTGTAATCATGCAGCCGTCAGCTATAGTATCGCATCAGATAGCTTGCTATAGATCGCCTGAGGAACAATTCCACTCATTCTCTACTATAGGA